ATTATAATATCATATTATTAAAATAATTATAATATTATTATAATATCATATTATATGATAAAATAATAATATTAGAGTTATTAATATAATTATGATATAATTTGTTACAATATTACTATTACATTATATTATATTATATTATATTACGAGTGAATTTTAGATTGGGAATATTGTAAATTTTAAATTTCATTAGGAGTATTATGGGTATTATGAAAGTTTCATTGATTATACTATGTTGATTCCTGCACAATCTAAAAGCTAAAATTGCCTTTGGAATGTTTTTGATTTTGATGGTAGATTCTTCAAAAAACACTTTTGATGAGATTTACCAAACACTAAAATCAGCTTTTGTTACAAGCAAAAACTGATTTTGTGAGTGAAAAACAATACCAAACACAGCCTAAAACTACGCTACTAGTCTTAAGCCATAACTAATTTTCTTACACATGTTTTTCTTTGTACCAGCTAGCTGAAGCCATGTATGAGTACGGAAGGGGTAACAACAAACGAGCGTTGGAATTGCTTGGGCTGGATTTTGACGCCGTAAACTATAAGGTATAAGCATGTTGTTTTGCTTCATTAGAGTTATTCTGGCCGCGTTTTCACATGTGACTATCAAAACCTTTAATTTTACTCTTTTATGCAAGATAATTGGGGCTTCTGATGAGCAACTTGATGTGTTCAGTGAAGTCTGGTACTCCGTGTTGTTGAGTGCCGGACAAGCTACAAAAGGTACGACCTATGCTTTTCTACATGCTGATAACATCGTCATACTAACGATGTAAGCGTTTTTTTTCAAATTTATGTTTGTTTTTGTAGCAATTGAAGCACTTGAAAAGAGTATCAAAAAGAGGGGAGGAGTCCCTTTTTTGTGGCGTCTGCTGGTAACGTCTCAACTTATTATGAGCATTTAGTTATAGAAATTCTTTGTTGGGGGTATGAAATAGTAGGACATAGTTTTTAATCGCCATATCTCATCTAAGTTATGTTAAAAGTATCATATTACTTTACATCTGATATTATTCTGGTACAATCCAACAGTCAAAAACTATGTCCTACCTATCGTATATTTTTTTCACTCTACCATAGAATTCTTCTTAATTATATGTATGCTTTAGTTTCCACATTCATCTAAGCCCTTCTTGTGGGTTTTTCACTGCCTATATCACATGTGAAGAATTTTTCTTTTTTTCTTTTTTTCCCTTTTCTTTTTCCGGGTTCAGGAGAGAGCATATAACATGATTGGAAGTAAAGAAGCTACAATTGTTGGTGAGAAGGCCAAGGAGTTAGAGTCCAAGTATCTCTAAAGTAGAAAAATCTCTCGCGTTTTTCTTTTGGGATCATTCTTTGTTGATGCCTTATGTCCAGCACAGTAGCACTGACTGCTGAACAATTAGTGTTGTGTATATACAATACAAAGCCAATAAAGAAACATTGCGTGTTTGAAATCTGTTTCAAAATGATTTTATTTTGTGTATGAAAATAAAAATAAAAACGTTTTAAAATTTGTACAGGAATCATTTCTGAAAATGCATTTAGTATTTTTATTGACAGATTATTTTTAGTATAAGAAAAAATTAAAACATTATACATTTTTGAAGACATCGGTATTTTAAATAATATATTAAGGAAAAAGAGTTGAGCTTCTTTGTTACCATATTTATTTGCATAATATTATGAATAGGATAACTAGATAAGCATTGAATTAGTCTTTAATTTATTTTTAATCTTGAGATAAAACTTCTCAATATATATATATATATATATATATATAATAAAATAAAATAAAATAAAATAAAATAAACTGAAGTATTTTATCCAACCACCAACGTCTGATCCAAAATCTAAAAGGCCCAACTGAATAATCATTATAGGCCTCAGACCTCTTCTTCTTCTTCTTTGTTCTGTCACCCAAATCTCTCTCTTTCTCTGAAACAGGAACAAGAAGACCAAAATTTCTCTTTTTGAGCTCGATTTTCTCTCTTTAATGGTTTCCACTGTTTCGAAAACTTAAAATCTGACGTTTCTTTGGGGTTAAATGATTGATTGAGAACCCAAACCTGAAAGAGAAGAGGCAAAACGAGAAGCTATTTCTGGTTTTTGATGAGTATGGATTGTTCTTGAGTCGGCACAAAAAATGTGTGGTGGTTTTGGGATTTGAGGCCATTAGAGCTTGATTTTTTTAAAAAATTTTATAATTGTATCATGTCACTTATAATTCTTCAATTATAAGTTGACCAAATACGTAAAATTTTGGCAACAGATTACCATCTTCCAAATTTGTCAAAAGTAGAGTGATGAGTGGTCCATTATTCAGTTGTTGTGGGAGTTGACGAAAATGCGGCAAAAGGAAAAGCACTAAGCGAATCATTATTAAAGTTCAGTTTGAAATATCTTTATTGTTGGCTCTTAAATTCAAACCATTTATTCACGGAGGGAAAGGTAAGAGAAAAGGTCTTAAGAGCATGTCGGTATAAGCACTCTTTATTATATTATTTAATAATAAAATAATATTTAGTGATATTTATACATTATATGATTTAATACGAAATTTAAAATCAATACATTATGAAGTGTGATATTAAATACGGGAAAAAAACATATTGTAATACCCGCATTTTTGAGTTACTAACTTATTTAAGAAAAATAATACAAGTTAGATCATCTTATATTATTTTAGAAATAAACGTTAATTAGGTGTTAACACCATTCTTTTAAAATAATGTTGGCTGGGATGTTTAGAGGAAATTAAGGAATAGGACTCCATGTGAATTACCACAGTGATGCAAAACCACGTGCGAATCTAACTGCATAGCCTTAGTGCTATGGCTTAAGCAATTGCCAAGTTATGCTCATAGGTTTGACAGGGTTTAGAGTGTAACTTGAGTATAGTTTTTAAGTTGAATTTGAGTTATAATTTGAGTTAAAGTTGTAATTTGAATAAAGTTGAAACTTAAAACAACGTGAATTTGAATAAAGTTGTAACTTGAGTTTAAAACTTTTTCTGAGTTTTGTTGCAAAAAAACAACAAATATATAGGGCTTGTTCTTTTGGAGTTTAATTTGAGTATAATTCTTGAGTTGAATTTGAGTTATAACTTAAGTTGAACTTGTAACTTGAGTTTGTGTTTGGTTGTGTACATTTGAGTTATGGTTTGAGATAAGAATCTTTTTGAGTTTGTGTTTGAGTGAGTCAAAACTTAAATTTGTATTTATATAGTATTTTAATAAAAACTCAATGCTGATGAAAAATTTTAATAAGGTATATGGGTCGGGTTTTATTCGTCTTTTCGTTCTCAACGCATAGAATAAAAAATCATCTCAATCAGAATTAAAACGAAAAAGTTATAGCATTTTTAAGAATAGAAAAAATAATGTTCATTAATTTGAGTATGAGTTTCTGAACTCGAGTTGAAGGAGAAATTTGAACTCGAATTTTAGTCCTAAACTCGAGTTTGAACTCGAATTTAAATTTAAAAGAACATAAACTCAAATAAAATTATAACTCGAGTTATCTTTATTTGAGTTTTTCACTTAAAAAAACAAACCCATTAGTTTCTAAGGGTTGGCGTTTAAACAAGGAGGGCTAAGCATGGAGAAACCACATGGAAATTGAGAAAGTGGCACGTAGTTAAGCTTGTTAAGCAAGCCTATGAACATTAATTAGCTGCCACATTGGCCTAGAAAACAAGTGGCAAATGCTGGAGCTTTTATTACATTTGCCGTCCATATTTATATTTAGTTGGTTGTCAGCTCATCTCATAGGAAGTCATAGTGGTAACGTGAGAAGAGATTAATAAGAACTAAATCGGAGAAAAGAAAAGTGAAGGAAATGAAGAAATGAGAGGAAAAATAGAGAAATGTTTTATTAATCTTCTTAAGCAGTTTGAGGTAGTATGAAAACATGTTCAATAATAACGTCTATAAACTGAAAATATACTACTATTTATGTGATGCAATAGAATAGTAGTATTACATCACTTGAATAGTAGTATATTTTCAGTTTATATACGATATTATTGAACATGTTTTTATGAGATTTAGAAAGTATTTTTGAGTATGATATAAATCTTGTGTCTATTATAGACTTTATTATGAACTGATTAAAATACGATAAAGGGTTAAATCCTGGAGAAATAAGAAATTCCATGATATGTGTCATATGAAAGAGGTTCTAATAACATAAGATTAATATTATAAAAGAGGGCTATGAATGTTAAAGAAAAGTATTTGAAAGTATAAATTATTTATGGTTTACTTACTGAGCTTACGCCCATATAGTTCTTGTGATGCAGGTAAGTACTAAAATAGAAATTTCAGTTGACTGAACAAGAATGGTTCAAGGTCCCATGACAAGTTAGGAGATATTAAGAAATGAAATTTATAATCCTAAGAATATTGTTCGAAGATTGTATTTGTGATAGATATTATTTATTTATTAAGTTATATTATTTATTTTAGTTAACGTTTTTCTCGAGATTTCATTGTTTTTAGCTGCTAGCTCGAGAGGGGCGTTACACATATATACTAGACCGTATTATGCAATTTAACTTAAAATACTATATTAAAGACATATAAAATATTTTACAAATATCAAGGCTTGGGGTTGGGGTTTAGGGCTGACGTTAGGGTCAAATTTCGAGACCGGAGTCATGTCAGGTTTATATTTTTAAAAAATTATATTTTGACCCTTAAACTTTTTAAAAACTATATTTTGACCTCTAAACTTTTTAAAAATTATGTTGACCCCTCAACTTTTTAAAATTATATTTTTACCCCTACTTTTTTAAAAATTACAAATTGACCTTATTTTTCAAAATTATGTGCAAATTACTCATATGTAGCAATTCCATTTTCTCTCTTGCTTTCTCTAAATGTTAGGTTCGGGTCAAAATTAGAGTTAAAATAGATTATGATTAGACTTAAATTTTATCTTATTACAAACTAATAAATAACTAAATTGTAATAATAATAATAATATAATATTTAATAATACTATCAACTAAACACCATATTATATAAAAATTATATAATACAATATAATATTATACCATATAACACAATACAATGCACCAACATACCTAATTCGGTCTAACAACACAATACTAATTAGCAATAATTAGAGATGTTGAAAGGACACGTTCAATTCTCCTTCAGAATTCAGATGACACCATTATTAACCTGCACGTTTGCTCAGAGCTGACCGAAATTCATTTACTCATCATTAAACGCGAGAATTGAAGATAGCATTCTCTCTTATCAATTTTTGCTAATTTGCTAATTATTAATTATTAATATATAATTGGGATTAAACTAGATGCACGAAGAAATTATGGAAGTCTATTAAAAAACTTTTCAGCTAAAAATTGATAGTTTTCTGAACGGCTGAGATTGTTCGTTTACGTAAAACATGGTAAAGCCTAGGAACGTCCCAAGAAAGGAAAAACTAAGGACCACAACGACATAATCCGAAAGTTTGGCAGCAACAGATTCTATTAATATTTCTACATTTTTTTTTTCCTGGAAAATTTTACATTAATTTCCAAAAAAGAAAAAGAAAAAGAAAATATCTCTACATGTGATGCGTCCAAAAACACTTCTGACACAAAACGAAGGTGGTCCACTTCATCAGTCAAAACCCACACATGTGCATTTGACCCCACCGCCAATCAAATCAAACTCTAAAACATTCACCCCATCGCCACGTCACCAGCCTCAACGCTCGTGTTGGACGCATTGATCAAGGTGGGGCCCGCCTCCACCCTCACGTGTACGGCTCCTGATCAGACTAAGCTCCTCCACAACCTCCCTCGCGTCGGGCCTATCGTCCTTATCTGCCGCGACGCACCGAAAAGCCAGCTCCGCCACCGCGTCGACGCCCTCAATGGCGTCGCCGTCGTCGCCGATTGCCAGAACTGGGTCCACCACCTGGTGGAGCAACCCCATGTGGATCTTCGAAACGACCAAATCCGCCAACGACATCTCCATCTTACTCCTGCTCTGATCAACCGCCTTCATGCCTGAAATCAGCTCTAGCAAAACGACACCAAAACTATACACGTCGCTCTTCTCCGTTAACCGGAACGACCGGTGGTAATCCGGGTCGAGATACCCCGGTGTCCCCTGCGGCCCGGTCCAGACGCAACCTGATCGCGACGTTGCCGTCGAGGCATTCTCCGGCGGAGGCGAAAGAAGCCGCGAGAGCCCGAAATCTCCGACCTTTACTCTCATATCCCTCTCGATGAAGATGTTCGACGACGTAATGTCTCTGTGAACCACCGGCGGCACGACGGAGAAGTGGAGATACTCCATGGCCATGGCGGTTTGCAGAGCAATGTCGACTCTGACCTGCCACGTCAGCGATCCCTTCCGGTGCTGCGATTTGGGGCCGTGGAGGTTGTCGGCTAGGGTTCCGTTCGGGACGTAGTCGTAGACAAGGAGAAGACCCCTCGGGTCGCTGCAGTAGCCGTGAAGCTTGACGAGGTTTGGGTGATTAATCGACGAGAGGATTAGGATTTCGTTGCAGAAGGATTTGCTCGTGAAGGCCTTTCCATGGTGGTTCTGCTTGTGAAGGTACTTCACAGCGACGATCCGGCCGTCGCGGAGCTGCCCTAGGTAAACCGACCCGAACCCGCCGTCGCCGATTTTCCTCTTCGGGTCGAACTGGTTCGTCGAGCTTTCCAACTCCTCGTAGGTAAAAACCGGCGGGAGGAGATTCGCCAACCGGTGGCGATGGAGGAACAACGCCGTCGGATCTTCGCCGGCGACGGATGATCTGAATCTCCCGGAGCGGAAAATTGATAAACCGACAACAGCAAAGAGCAACACACAAGCCAAAGCGAAAACAGAGCACAAGACCGCGATTCTCGTAGGGCTGTCCACGCTAATCCACGGCGGAGAGAATCGAGCTCGAGAGTGGAAGCAGACGAAGTGTTTGTTCGGATCGGAGGAGTTGAATCCGCAGACGCCATTTTTGGAGCGACATTCCGTACAGTTCGTAAAGTAAGCATCTTTAACCTCATCCCACTCAAACTTGATCCCAATCTGCATCAACACATCGAGATACTCCAAAACATCCTCTTGGCAGCCCTGTTGCTCCGCCGCGTGACGGTGAACAGATCCACAGCCGTGAAGAAGAAGATGAACTGGGCTCTTCACGAGCTTGCATTGCCACGGACAGTGGCTGCAGTTAGGCAAGACCGGAGGGGAACAAGATCGGAGAACGGAGAGCCGCGAACAGTAAGCTTCCGAGACGCGAAACGGCGATCCGGTGAGATTGATCGGGCGGCGAGGGATCGAGACGAAACGGAGAGAAGAGCAGGTTTCTGGGTCGGAGGGGTTTGGGGAGAGGAGAAGAGAAGAGGAGTTTGGTTCGTAGCTGAGAACAGAGAAAGAAAGGTCGTTAATGGAGATTGTGGAGTGTGGGGTTGAGCATTTTACTTGGAAAGCTGGGTGGCCGCAGCCTGGGGAGGAAGAGAAAGGGAAAGAAGGAGAAGAAGTGAAGGGAGGACAAGGAGAGGGAGATTTTGAGGTTTTTGGTTTGGAAGAACAAGCGTTGATGGGTGTTGATGAAGAATATGGAGAGAATGTGATGAGAACAACAATGGCGGCAAAGAGAGACATTGATGTTTAAATAAAATGGGAAAGAGGTGAGCTTGTCATGTAAAAAGAAGAAGATCTGAGAAACCCATTTGATTTTGGGCAAAAGAATAAAATAAAAATAAAAATCTGATATTGGAACTTTAGGATTCAGATTTCGTGCCAACCTTCCTGGAGTTGCGCATAGAAGAGCGAGGGAGAGAGGGATAAAAAAGGGGCCTTGTGGTTTGTGGGGGAGGGGACTCTGAGGGACTGAGAAGGGTCACGTGAAGTGAGTTGGAGAGAGACAAGAGAGAACCTAGAAGAAACCTTTAATGTGGGGCCCGCTGTCTAATCTACCCATTTCTGGTGGGCGCTGTGGCCAAGTAAGTAGAGCACTGTGTAGCGTGGGTGTGTGTGTGTGTGTGTTTTTTTAATTTCATTATTCAAGTTTCTACTTTTATTTTTTATTTAGTTTATTATTTAGGACTTATTTAATTTATTAATTTAAATTTTTAATTTAAATTGAGATATAATTTTATGTGACAGTTTTTTATTGTAATAAAAAAATTAAATGTGGTTATTTTTTATAATTTTTTATAATAATAAAATTTAAATTTTAAACTCAAATCGGTAAAATAAATGGGACTTGTTTTCACTAATTTCCCTTTCTTTCGAAAAAGCTATGCACCTTGAAATTGACTTGGGTTTTTTTGCGTATTTTTGGGTTCTCTGTCTTCGAGTACTGAGGGTGGGTGAATCTATGGTGCGATTTGTTTTTCATGAGCAGTCAAAGTTTGGACGGTTTCTTTAAATTGGCAAAAGACGTTTGGTATGGAATGGTACCAAAAATCCGCACAATGGACCTTTCACAGGCTTCATGAGCCAGGAGTAAATTAAGAGCAGGTGACGAGTATGGAAGTGGAACTGGAGCCAAGAGAGATTTTGGACTTTTTTTTTTTTTTTTTTGGTAATCAACGCAAGAGATTTTGGAAATAGTTGGAGCATGAAGAAGCTTCTAAATCAAAGGGAAATACATTATCTCTCCGTTTATTTCACCGATTCGAGTTTAAAATTCGAGTTTTATTATAGTAAAAAACTCTCAAAAAAAATCATATTTAACTTTTTTATTAAGTAAAAAATTTTCATATAAAATCACATCTTAACTTAAATTAAAAATTTAAATTAACAAATTAAATAGATTATTAATTCCTCCAACTGAAAAAACTAATAAAGTGTCCCTTTTTTGTTTTTTGTTTGCTTGGAGTAGGTCCTTAACCTTTGCTTAATGTAGGTGTAGGCTTGTTGGGCACAAGCTCTGAAATAAATTATATTTTATTAGTTTTCTTGAGCTCCCCGTCCAGTGTTTAACAGCCTTCCAGTTCTGTGCTGTGGCATGTGGTGGGTCAGGGTGCATCTCTCTCTGACAGGTAAAATGAAAAAAAATAAAAAAAAATGTAATTTTTTTGTTTAATTTCTTTTAATGCTTAAAGATGTTTGGTTGTTTGGTAACCAAACATCTTTACAAGAAAATGCAGAAAAACATGGTCCAAACCTATGTAATAGGTTGAGTGATTTATTGCCAATTCCATGCAATAGGTTGTGATTTATTGCAATCTATACTAGTAAAGCATGTATATTTTGGCCCGTTTAGTTCATTAATTTAAATTTTTAATTTATATTGAGATGTGATTTTATATAAGAGTTTACTGTAATGAAAAAATTAAATGTGACAGTTTTTGAGAGTTTTTTACTGTAATAAAATTTAAATTTTAAACTCAAATCGATAAAATGAACGAAATATCTGTATTTACACTTTGAGTGACAGCTTTCGTGAGAGGGAAAGAAAATACAATGAGAAAAGGGGGAGTTTTTATCTTGTTTGGCGTGATAGAATAAGAAACAAGAAAGAAAAGAAAGTGAGTGATAAATAATGACTATTTTTCTAATTAACTAATATCAATTTAGTTTCATAATGAGTACAAAACGAATAATTTGACTATTAATGCAAATTTTAATGAGTTTCCTTTTCAAAGTGAAAAGAAAATTATATCAAAGGAGTAGGATGGCCGGAGCTTTGACATCATCTCCAGACGTGTCGTCGAGCTTTCGGTCTTGAAACTTCGTCTCCACACTTGTTAGATAGTGGGCTTTCTATGATGCAAAAGCTTCGGCTGGATTCATCGAAGGTGGAGCATAGGTTGGTAGCCATTGATTTGCAGATTTGTTATTAGCATATCTAGCGTCTAGTGATCGAAATCCTTCGAGGGTTCAACTGTGACGCGGTGGAATTCATGCGGTGGTTGCGGTGCCATCTTTTAACAACAAATGTCATGACACGCAGGGCTTACTTCTGTCACGATCTACTGCTTTTTTTTAGTGGGCCTTTTATCGGTTTTATCACATTTCAAAAGTTTTTGTCAATAATAATTCAGATTTTTTTTTATTTGTGTTGTGGTTTGTAATAACAATGGTTTTTTTCTTGAATTTGGTGGTATGTTTTACTTGTTTCTTATCAACGATTTGTATGGTCTTGGTGCTATGAGTTTCGCGATTTTGATGGATGACATTTTTTTTTTTTTTTTTTTTATGGATTGTAGAGATTGTGTTAATGAGTCGTGTGTGCTCAATTGTTTGCATAGGCATTTTGGTGTTGTTTTTGGAGCTTGACACACATCTACTCCCATTGAGTGTTTCATTTAAGTTTATTAGTGAAATCAATTACCTATTTCTGTTGTGGTTTCCTATAGTTTTGAGGCTATATGGATTACTATTGGTGTTTATATTTATTTCATTTGAATTATATTTCTAATTCCTTTTTTTTTAATAATGTCTCCATTATTTGAGGATAAAAATCAGTAGGACCTATAAATCTCTTTAGCTCTCCATTATTCCCCTAACTTCACTTTTCTCTCCTATTATATAACCTAAAGTTATATTTTCTCCTAAAAATTCTTCCCCTCTCTTCCTTTCGTCCCGCTTTCCTCCTTTACATAGATAGTGCAAGGAACTCAAATTATGTGAGAATTTTATATACCATTTGAATTGCATTTCAAGCAAATAGAAAAAAAAAAAAAAAGAGTTCTTAATTTTTAATTAGCGATTAATACTCTGGATAAGTAAATTCACATTTGATATCAAAATATTAATAAATCTTATAAAAAGTTGCCCATTAGTATTCTTGCACTTCACAATTAGCATCCACTCATCCCATGGCCATGCAATTCCCAAGGCCCGTTGCCAAAGCAAACTCTCGAATAATTAGGCTGAGATCTACTGTGCAATTTGCAGCCCATTACCAATTACGAACGAAAAGGCCGAGTAAGACAAAAAAGATGTTTCTGGTCCATGACATCGTGTACACCTGGTCACGAAAATCTCCAACACGTTGTTAGTTTTGGGGGCGTTTGTTTCCGTAGTTGTCCGTTCAACAGGAGAAAATGACAAAACTGTCCACTAAACTTTGATCTCCAAAAGTTGGTAGTTTTGGGGGCTTTTGTTTCCGTAGGTGTCCATTCAACAAGAGAAAATGACAAAAATGTCCGCTAAACTTTGAGTTGTGTTTGGAGTTGTTTTCGTTTTTATTTTTCACATTTTTTGAGAAAAAAATAAAAACGGGAGAGAAATGACATTTGGTACAATTAAAGATAAAAAAATAAAAATAAAAATAAAAATAATTTTTTAATTTAGTGTAAAATGTGAATTGTTTCTATTTTTTCCTCTCTCAAGTAGCGAGAGAGACATTAATAAATTTTTTTATACTGAAAATAATCTCTTAAAAAAATTATTAAACGTATTTTTAAAAATAATTTATGTCTGAGATTGAAAATATTTTTATTTCTATTTTCATATAAAAAATAAAATTATTTTAAAATAAATTCTAAACACACTCTTGATCTCCAACAGTTTGTTAGTTTTGGGGGCGTTTGTTTCCATAGTTGTCCATACAACCAGGAGAAAATTACAAAAATGTCTACTAAACTTTCCATAATTTGTTTCCACCCATGTACGTTAAACTTTCCCGTTTACAAGCCTTTCGTTTTGAAAAATGCTCGAGAGACATTACTGATGCTAAACAATTATATTGATAAAAAACAAGCTCAAATTATAAATAAGCGCTGAAAACTATTGATACCTTATAATATTATTCCGTCCTTTTAGTTGTAATTATTTAAATGATTGTTGTCGGCAAAAATTATTGAAAGGGTTGTTGAACTGGCCTTCTATGGCTTGTTGTTGTGTATTTTACGGATTGATCACGAACAAAACTGTCGCTTTCACGATCAATTGGCAATGCATACACTAACCAACATAAAAGCGGGAATAATTATTCTCTTTGTTTTTACAAAATAAATTAAATTTACTAAAAGATCTATTTTTAATGTTTGGTTTTACACAGAGTATTGTAAACTTTATTGAAGCACTAACGATTGACACTTTATTGAAGCACTAACGATTGACTATAATGATTATGCTCAGAGACATTAAAGAAGTCAAATAGAAAATAATGCAGGAAAAATAAATGATATTACAGTTTAGTTCAACAATTTATATATACTAGGTCACGCTCAGATAGTGAATAATCCACTAAGTTCTAAAGAATTACATACACTAATCGGACTTATATACTAAAAGACTCCCTCCTTGACGTTATCGCTACTGTGTCGAATCTTCTCAATGGCATTGTCCAATGAGCACCACGCGTCTTCAAACTGTATGAGAAAATCCCTTCAGCTGGCAATGTGCTTTATTCCGAAAGCTTCTAATCCTTCTCCCGAATGACCATTCAAATCCACATGATCTCCATGATTGTCTCCGAATCGAATTCGGATGCGGAAGCGTGGTGCGGGGAGGCGGATCGTGTATAACAAAAATTTTCATAAAACCTTTGAGATACTCTATATATTATATTAATTTATGCATGAATAAATTAATCTCATTAATTCATTTATTAAGAACTCAATTAGGAAAAATACCTGGAGGCCGACTTGGTTGATAACTTGAGTTCTTTGACCTCGAACAATCCTTGCTCTAAAGCTTTGTGTTTAGAAAACTAATGTCTTTCACGTCAATTTTTAGAATCTACGAAGACGTGTGTGTGGGCACACATGAGACAAAATGGGTTATCATAAACACTCAAATTTCTACAAACACCAACGCATGCACGATGTGAAATTTTTGGAGAAAAAATTTTTCTTCCTCTCTACAAAGAGAATTTCGGCCAGCCTTGACCATTAGGGCTGAAAATTTGTTTCAAAAATTGTCT